CGATGAGCAGCGCATAGAGCAGGACATGGGGCACTGTGGTGTTGGGCGCCTGCGGATTGGATGCCTCGTTCATGCTGCTCAAAGTGGGACGCAACTTGGCCTCGAATGTAAAGGCGCTGTCCGTGTACTTTTGCCGCAGAATGTGCCAGGCCTGATCGAGTTTTTGGATCTACACAGGGGAGGGGAACAAATCTCTTAAACATTTCCTTTAACATTTCCTAATCTTTAGAGTGACGCACCTGTGGCATGCACAGTCCCAACATAATGGCACAGAAGCCGAATAGGTTCCCCAATGCCGTCTTTGTCTCGACCGCAATCTGTATCCACTTGCTGAGCAACTGTGCCCGATCCAGATCCGTCTGACAGGTGAGTATGGTGACGGCCACCATCAGCTTGATGCACTGCGTTCGCTCGATGATATCCTCGCGAAAGAGTTTGCCATGCGGCAGCGTCAACAGCTCCAGTCCCGAACAGCTCAGAAAGTAGTCCAACTCATCGTCGGGCTGCTCTAGAAACAGACCAATATCAATGCGTGTTATGTGCTCCGCCAGCAGCTTGGGCCCCGTTTCCAGCAGCATCATCTTGAAGGTGTTCAGCGCATCACCATCCAGCGGCTTGTTCTCCACCGAAGGCAGCAACAAAGTGCTAAAGTTTTCAAAATCAAATTTGCTGCCCTGAAAGGGGAGAGAGGATGGCATGAGGATTAGTTCTTCCATGGGTACGTGCAGCACTCACCACTCGCACCTCCTCAATGGCCAATGTGAAGAGATTCTCCTCCGCTGCCATGGCATCAAACTCGCTGAAGCTCTTCAGTGTGCCATTGGACACGGAGCTGCTCATGAATCTTGGATTCTTGATGATCACTCCACGCTGTATGCACACCTCACTGCCATCGCCCAGGGCCGAGTCGCCCGAGCCATTGCCCGAATCGGAGCCGCTTGCCTGATATGCCAACACGGCGGCCATTGGCTCCTTGCGCGGCTTCGGCGGCGGACTGGGTGGCCGACTTGAGTCCGACCCTGTGTCCAGGCTGCAATTTCTGGCTAAACTGGACATCCTGGCTGCTGCCTGCTGACGCAGCGCCTGCGCTGCTGAAGTACTCGGTCTGGGCAGCGAGTGGCTGGTGAATTTATTCTCCAAATGTTGCTGCTGCACATCGCTGGTGGGATTGCATCTGGCTATGGTCTGGAAGCGGGCCAGTCCATTGCCATTGGAAGTGCCATTGCTGGTGCCATTGGCTGCCTCTTGGAGCTGCAGCTGCTGCTCCTGCAGCTTGTTAATGTTGCTCACGACCATGGCCTGTGCGGGCGTCAGGCTCTGGGATCGCTGCTGCTTCTTGCAGGGCAGCCGCGGCGGCGGAGGAACTTCGCGACGTGCTCGTGGCGGCGAGCAATGAGGACTACCCGGAGAGGCCACAGTCTGCTGGGGCACTGCCTGCTGCTGTTGCTGCTGTTGCTGCTGCTGCTGCTGTTGCTGCTGCTGTTGCTCAAAGCGAAAGACTGCACTTCCAGCATTGCCCAATCCTGCGCCATTGCTGCCCATTGGCGAGTTCAAAGGACTCAGGCCACGTAGGCCAGCCAACATTTGGCTGTGCAGCTGATTACCCACAATCTTGTGACCATAAAAGGACAGTGGATATCGCCTGTTGCACGGATACTGAATGAGAGCACCCGAGGCGGCAGAGATGGGTTTGCCAGAGCCCACATAGAAGGTGATCAGATCCGGCACCGTGTCAAAGGCATCTTCCTCAAACTGATATTGGACACGCTCGTACACAGTCTCTGGTTGTAGGACCAACTGGAAGAGATAGAGGATTGTGATTAGAGAAAAACTTTCAAGGATCTCCCATCACCCACCTTATTCAGCACAAAGTGCAGGACTGCCAACTTGCTGCGACAACTGAGCACATAGTTGTCCGGCTGTGAGGCGCAATCCCGCACCAGGAAGTCTCCTTCCCGCTGGACAATCTCCTCGGCCCGTTGTCGTGGCAGTGGTCCGTGGTACCAGGCATGGGAACGCAGCTCCCTGGCATCCAAGCTCAGCTCCCATTCGAGGGCCTTCTTCAGGGCAATGGCCTCCTGTTGCTCATTGGGATTCGGCGAATTCACGGCAATCGGTGTGGAGGCATTGCTGCCGCTAGTCTGCTCCATTTCGCTGTCAATGTGGGCACCCCAATGGGGACTGTTGCACCTGGAGCGCGGTCTCAATTCTTCGTAGCTGCAACAGAGAGAAGTGCAGGAGAGAGTGGGTGAGCGGTTGGATGAGTAAATTTCCCTTATTTTGGGTAATTTCTGACTAGCTTAACGGCCATTCCCCCAGAAGCGGCACTCAATTGCGGGGACATTTCGCTCCCGCAGGGATATTTTGGTCCTTGGTATATGCACCAACTTTTTGTCTGAAGTTCAAGTGCAAAAGAAATACAAATCGAATTGTAGTAAAATGTTTTGTAGCCGGGGGGGACTTTCTTACTCCTTTTCAAAAGAATTGTACACATTTTTGTTTGGACTTTCTTTTTCTTTTCCGTATATCCTTTCACTTAATTTCTTATCACTCACCTGCTACGCCCATTTTGATTATGCCAAGCTTTCTAATCAAATCAAATGTGGGAACGGGAAACGCCCCAAAAAAAACTATTTAAAATACGGCCAGGCACAGGGCAGACTCTTCTTGGAGTCCTAAACGACTTTTAAGTCGATTTTTCCATGCAAGAATTGCCTTAAATTTTCATCAAAGCCTTTCAACAGCAACTACAAAACAAAAAATTTATATTTCTATATATTTTCGCGTATCGCCGAATCAAGTCTGAACTCTGCGCCGTTTGCAATTGCTCTGAAAATGTTACGGCCATGTCCCAGGTCCGTGGTCCCTGTTCTCCCCATGCTCTCGCACACGAGCCGTGCATTCGGGTTGTCCTTGCGAGGGTTGTTTCGGTTTGTTTTGGGTTTTGTTTTAAGACTCCTTTTGCCGCTTCAAGGAAGTTTTTGTGTAGTTTTTTATGTGCGGGGAAATTCTTGGAGCATGCGCAGAGTTTTTGTTATTGAAAATATACGAAAGAGATTCGGAAAAGAAGGAGAAATGCGGGCAGGGTGGGATAACGTATAATTTGGTGGAAGATAGTTGAAGTTTGAAATTCAATGAAGACGAAATCAGATTGAACTGGATAAACCTGCCCAAATGTATATCTATTTTAAAACCTTACTCACATGGTATTTGTATCATCGAAAGTCAGTTGCTTGAGCACTTTGCCACTTTTGGTGATAATCAAGTCCCGTCCACCGCTATCGCCACTGCCCGAGATATCGACGGAACTATCCTCCAGATAAACCAATGGGCAGGAATTCTTGCGACGCGGCACAGCACGCGGCCTGCTGCTGCCAGCTGCTGGATACAAAAGCTGAGGATATATTAAATGTACATATATCGAATGATTCGGGGGACTTACCCTCCAAGTTCATGGATTGCCGGCGCTTTGCCCGCACACCCAGCAGACTGTTGATCATCAGCTGGCGATGCGCGCTGCGTACGCCACAGCGTTTTAGCTCCTTGTCCGTAATGTCCACCACATCATCCACAGTGCTGTAGGCCTGCAGATTACCTAAAGAGCAGGGAAGAATGTACACATGTACAGTGCTAGTTAGAGCAGGTTAGAGAGGAGAGACAGCATGCCAAACCTTCGTACTGCTGCAGCTCCAAGAGATCCAACCACTCGGCAATGCTCATCCGGGAGTTGTGCACAATCACAGCCAGATCCTCCCGCCGGCGTGCGGCATTCGTGTAGCGAAAGTTCCAAAGGATACCTAAGAAAGAGTTGCAAGAACGAATTTGTATGCTGCAGAGTCTGTTTCTGATTGTGTCACTTACTGCTTCGCCGGTTTGCCACATTGCGCGGCTCCAGTGTGCGCGGCTGCACATTGCCCATTATGTCTCTCTGGCTTGTGTAAGGCTCCCCCGTATGATATACAATTTCTATTATTATTATTCTTTAATTAAGCCGTCACATGGCCACCAGTCTCAAGACTCGATCTGAAATTCAACCGTTCGCTGTGCTTTGCGTCAGAGTACTGAACGTGACCGAAAGGCAAAGCCGCGAGCATGGGAGAAAAAAAAGAGCTGAGAGTACGCTTTTTGTGTTACTTAAGCCGATAAGGGAATGCTCTTTTAAAGGCGAAGATTACTTCGAGCAGGAGTGGCCAAAAGCTGAATGGAAGTAAGTTTTGATAATTCAATTGCTGAGTGAATGGTCTTTTAAGAATACTCTTAATGCATTTACTTCAACAACTGTTCTGCTGTTGAGATCTTTAAAGACTAAGACTTCTTTCTCTAACTTGGCAAAGTTGAGTTTTAGTACTGCTATATCCTTCACCTTCTACTGTATCTGCTTTACAAGCTTAATATCATCGAATATATTTCCAGTACCCACCAAGGTCTACAAACTCCCTCTCCGAGTTGGTTAACTCTCTGGCAGCGCATAATAAAAACCATAAGCCAAGCATGAGTAATATTTCAATGCCGTGCATCCACACACAATTTACTCTCACTGTTTGTCAACAATTTGCTCTCACTGTTTGTCTAATTACTGCTCTCCGAGACACACACTGCTCTCTCCCCCAACTAGCACCCGCGCTTGACCAACTGCCTGCCGATCTCAAGGGGGGATTTTCATTCAGTTTTCGTTTCGGGTTTATCGTTCATTTGATTAGCGGAGAAGGCCTCAGAAAGCCGCTTGTCGCCGCGTCTCATATTTTCGGCTGATCGCAGCGTTATTCCATTAATTAAATTTTCTGTATCTGTTTTTTTGTTGGCTATTGTCTTGGCAGTTGGCATTGCGTATTATGCTCGTATTTTCATAGGAATTATCAGAGAAATTGTACTCTCCATCTTGTTGCTCTATTCAAACAAGTAAACAGATAGATGATCCCTCTCCATATTTACCCAAGTAAGGCCAGCTGTGACTGTGCACTTTAACATTTATTTTGTAGTTAAAAATTATATAAATAAAATAAATTAGAGGGAATATTCTACGTGACTTAAGCTACTCGACATGGTACTTTACACAAGTAACAAGCATGCGACTTGCATGTAGTTATGCATGTACGAGCATGTATTGATGTAGAATTCATTGCTCTACTCCACCACATCAATTTCTATATCATCGTCCGCCTGTTCGCTGAGCTCCGCACTCGAGCAGCTATCGGAGCTGTAGTCCAGCTGCTCCTGTGTATGATGGCCAGCACCTGGCATGGTCGTGGCCTTCGTGGCAGCCACACTCGAGGGCTGTGCATGAGGCTGCTTCTCTTGGCCACTTTTTAGATTCTCGCGTGTGTGTCGCCATTTCATGCGGCGATTCTGGAACCATACTTTGACCTGAAGAGCAGGGGAATAGCTATAAATATTTCTACACTCGAAGTTTTCTCTTCCTGTAACCCACCTGCGCATCTGTCAGATTCAAGCGTGCCGCCAGCTTGCGTCTGTCTGGCTTTGTAATGTACTTCTGTTGCTGGAACTGTATTTCCAGGCCCTTTCGCTGCAGATTCGTAAAGACAGCCCGTGACCAGGAGCGTTTCCGTTTCCCGTTGCTGTTGCCACTGCCACTGTTGCCGTTGCCGTTGCCGTTGCCGCCCCCATTTTGGCTGCCATTTTGCATTGAGGCTGCCGCCTGCGATGTGGGAATGTTGTCCAGCAGCTGCTGCTGCGACTTGCCCAGAAATCGCTGCTGCTGCGTCAACTGCAGAGACTTGAGGCTATGAAGAGGCGCCAGCAGCGCTGCAGCTGTCGAGGCTGCATTCGTGGCAGGTTTCTGCTGATGAAGGTGCGACTGATGGTGAGGCTGATGGTGCGGCTGATGATGCTGTGGGTGTTGCTGGTGGTGGTGCTGCTGATGGAAGCGTAGAAGAGCGTTGGTTGCCAGAGTGGGATATGAGGTTGCTGAAGGAAAATATAGGAAATCGAAAAGTATTATAAAGGTGCGAAAGGTTGTCGATATTTCCACCACTTTATTTCGTTTTAAGGGCTAGAAGTAACACATGATTATAGAGAGATATTAAAGGTCCCTGTCTCTAAAGTTTTTTACGATCGTCTAAAGTAAAGACAACCTCTCATAGAGAACATGACCACAGCATCCCAGAATGAATCCACGCACTATTCCATTTTCCTTGATTTATTTCCCATAACTCTTCCGTCCTTTATATGACGCTGTGGCTTGATCTCTTAGGGTAAACCTTTTAGCCAGAGCATTCTAGAGTTAACTCTTACTTGAATTCCTTAAAATCCCTTATACTACTATACTACTAGAGTTAACTCTTGCTCTACTCCATTTTGCAGCACTATTGGCCATGTCTTTGCTTCCATCTTGTACATGCCGATGTGGCTATATATATATATTGAAGATCTCTCCCCATTTAATTTATCTTCCAATCGATTTTAATCCACATCATTCTAGAATGAACTCTCACTTCCTTTCACTAATTTTCCATAACTTTTCTTCCATCTTTTCCCAGCCATATTTCACTCACTTTTATTTATTTTTACAAACCCAGCCTCACCCTTACTCAATCGCCATATCCTCCCATACCATTAATTATTGCCCATGTCCGGTGGAAACAATATACATTAGTTGTTATATTTTTTAAGCTTAAAGCCAACCGAAAATTTACGCATTTCCGTAATCAGGAAAAAAACATAAGGAAAATATTATTCCGTTCCGTTCGGTTCCGTTCCGATCCGATCCGCGTGCAAAATATGAAATTCAGAAATTGTGTGTGTTGTTCGAGTAAATTATTTTGTTCAATGAAAACGCACGTTGAAAATATTTAAATGAGTTTGTTTATAATAAAATTTTCCACTTAATTGGAAATAATCATTGAGGGAGGCATTGTCGGCGGGGCGGAACCATTTGTATTTGTTTATACCACAAAAACGAAACGAGATTTCAGTAGAGCAACAATTAGCGTTTCTTTTCGGTGCAGAGCCAAGAATTATTTGGGGTAATCGAACACGACATGGGGCACACGAGAGAGATGTGTGTGTGGGTGTGTTGTATCTGTAGGTCGAGTGCCTTTTCATACGTTTAAATGTTTTTTAAATATCTCAAAGAGCTGCTGATTCTTTCGCTCCTTTGCCTTAACTAGTTTATTCATCTTTTTATTGGCTTTTGTTCATAAAGTTAATGCTTGAATTTTCGCTTTGTTTGTGTGTTCACGCGGCATGCGTCTAATTATTTTCATGGCAAGCCATTTTATTTACTCTAGAAAAAAAAAACACTCAACGATGTGTGATTCTTGGATATTTTGCAGCATTGCAGCGGAAATGCGCTGCTGCTCCTTGCTGCATTTGCATCTGTATCTGGCCATCTGCATCTGCGTTAATTAGCCTGTTTGGCACTTGGTTTGTGTCACCCGTCGGCGGTTTGTTATAATGAGTTTCCATCAATTTTCAACACCTTATTCCTCGGGTGCACAGCTCTCGCCTTGGCACAGCGCGAGCTCTTTAATTGCCGACTTTTCAGATACATTTGTAAATATCGGGCGCCCCAATACCCAATCCACAATCCCCATGCATCCCAGAGTAAATATCTTAATGAGTTGTGATAATTCCGAGGCGTGATGCTAAATCACACCAGAGATTCCCCCACTCCCCCTACTTGGCTGTTCCCTGCAGGGATGCGGATGCACTCGCAGTTGGGGGATCTGCTCGGCTCTGAGATGTTTGTGTGCTGTCTTGGATTTACGAGGAAATTTCCATTTCTACGGATTTATTTGACCTGCCATTCCCCGGGGTATGCCATATTTATGGCTTGGCGAATATTTTGTTTGTCAGTGCTCTGCGGTGCTCTCCTTTTTTCTGGGTAAACTGCGAATGGACTCTTCACACTGACCGAAACGCCACTGCGCTGTTGGTGGGCCATGTGCATACGAGTACGAACCCTGGTCCATCAATTGTGATGAGCAGGTTAAGTGATTAATTTATGAGTTTTTGCTCACGCTGTAAATTAGGTTCAGGAATGCACTAAATAAGTGCAAGGTTAAAGGCGAACATTTGTTTAAATAGTTGCTAAATATTTGGTAAATAGTTACCCAAATATTTAATGAATGGTTTCCTTACACACAGGAACAAAATTATTCTCAATAATTTCACTTCAGTTTAAGTATAATATTTTTTGATTCTTTGTGCCCTCAGCGGTGAAATATTTAACCTGAATTCTCATTTAAAATAAACATTTTCATTTTTAAAATATATTTTTTTTACAATTAAAATAATGTATTTAAATATTAAAATATTTTAAATATATTTTCTACAAAATGACTATTAAATGTTTATTTTAAAATGTTGAATACATATTTAGATATATAGTATATTAAATTATATTTAAATCCATGTAAATACCATTTAATTTCTCCATTCTTGAATTTTCAAGCAGATTAATTAGTCTAAGCATTAAGCTATGTTTGGCTCAGTGCATAAGGAGGCTTCGATTTAGAAGAGCTTTGAGCAAGAGTTCTTAAGTTCGTACACTGTTTCCATGAATATTCTATTTACTCGGGTAAATGTTCATGGATAACGAGCTTGATCATTTGAAAATGATCGTAAAACTGAAGAAATAGTTTTCTTTGATCAAAATCATCAAATCCTATTCATATATGATGATGATATGTTGAAGATCGAAAAAGTGTATACATATGCATGAATACACATTCTGGTGACGATACAAAAAATGTATCACATTGTGATAACCAAAATAAAAGTTATGGGAATCATTTAAAAAATGGCATTAAACAATAATTAATAGAGCAGAAAGCGCAGTCAAAATTCGCATTACAAATCCATCAAAAAATGCCAGATCACTCCATCATTCAATACCAACTTCAATACGTACACTTAAACAATCGAAATATAGTTAATCCCTCTCATTATAAGTAATCCTCCCCTGCTGCTGGGAACTCTTTGCCATAATCCCTTTGATACCACAATTACGAAATCCACTCTCTCTCTCTCTCTCTATGTGATGTTCATTGATGAACGCTGCTGTGATCGCTGGCAACTCCATGTAGCTCTAGCTGCAGCCAATAAAGCAAGCAATTGGATTAACATATAAATTGTAAATTAATTAGGCAAACGGCGCCAGATTATCGCTCAGACATCAGCATTCCCATATAGCAGACAAACGTTTTCAGCATTGATGCTGCTGGGGGGAATCGATCGATCGAGCGATGGATGAATCTATCGCCAGCACCCAAGGAAAAGCCCAAGTAAAAACAATCAAACAAACTACTCAACACCAGGCGAGGCAAGCAAACAGCAACAAATAGTCAAAGTATCAGCAGGGAAGGGAACGGAAAGATCGAGGGAGAGAGATCTTCTCTCTGGCTTGGCCCCAAAGTGTTTTTATGATGTGCGATGCGATGCGATCAATCCATCAAGAAATGAATCCGCCAGAGAGGCAGAGAGTTGGCTGGAGCAGGTTGGTCGCTGCAGGTAGCCATCCTCTTCCTCCATCGCTCCACAGTGGGTGGCTGTGTAAATAGTTGCCCTCTGGCTTGGCCCCTAAAAATACCACAAACCATAGGCATAGGCAAAGCCATTGCATAGCTTCAGTTATTCCATCATTCAGTTGGTCATTTACTCATTCAATCAGTCGGGTCGGTCATGCGCCTGTCATTAGGCTAAACGGCAGCATCGCGTTGAGTCACAGTAGTTGGGCCCAATGGCGCCCCATCTATCAGGGATCGGGCCAAAGTTCTTCCAAGTTCTCTTACTGCAGCTTCAAGTTCTCTGCCAACCTGTCCTCTAGCCCCTGATCTCGGTGGCAGCGGAACAATTCATTATCGTTGGCAATTAGATGGATAGCTATCTGTATCTGCCCATGAATGACGGGCCAATTGCTCAAGCAAATAAACAAATTGTTCACCCATTCCCAGCCAATCGCTTTTCACGTAGGTCGAAGTTTATTTTTAAAGTCTGATTCCTAATTTGTTCATAAATTGCTGTTAATTTTCGACCGTGTTCTTTCTGTTCCTTTGAATTTAATTTATTTAATGTTCCCACAAGGATTGATGAAACACTTTCAACGATCGTTTGCTTCGAACCGCTTCGGTTGATTGAGGAAATGTCGAATTTAATTCTCTTTACTAATTGCCCTTCCATTTGCACCTGCCCGCACGGAATGTGTTTGAAAATCGTTTAATATTGATGATAATTTTCATAAATGTTTTGCTCCATTGAAGTGCGCAGATTTCGATTTATTTCAATGTGCCGCTAATTTGTTGCCATACAAAAGATTTCAAAGATTTCTTTCTGAATGATAAATTATACAAAATAAAATGATATCATGGCTAAATGTTGCTCGAGCTAAGGGTGGGCTAAAGTGTAGTAGATTGCAAGGAAGACCGTAAGTAACATTTAATTATATTAGCTGAATTACATGTGTAGCTGCTCTCTTCACAGCATAGGCCATATTTCAATAAAAATTTGAACACAAACCACTCGTGGCATGGGCTGACTGGCTTCCCTTCCTTTCACAATCTTCGACAATATGTTGGCATGCTTCCTGCCCTTCCCCCTCGAACTTCCTTTGCAATCGATTGCAAGCCCTCTGCAGCTCTTTAGCACCCACTTGATAAGTATTGTATATAAAACAAAAGCCAGCACCATCGAAATGTGTTAAATGGCTTGCAGCCTGCCTGTCCGTAACAATGAACAATTTCTATTTGAAATGCCTTTCCTATTTCTCATATAAACAAGATCAAAGCAGTCCATGAGCCATGGGCAAAGTCGTCGTCCCCAGAACAGTTCAGATAGTATTCATCGGTATACAAATATCCCCAGCAGGAAGTAACGTAAATACACGGAATATATCGAGATATTCTGCGGTTTGGATTGGGTTCTTCTGCTCAACAAATGGATTGTTTTCGTCAAGAGTCTGTTCGAACAGTTGGCCCGGCACAATATTGCACAATATGGCCACAGATCAACTAATAATTCCAATAAAAACAAACGATTTATGGCCAAGCGTTGCGCTGCTCTTCCAGGAATTTACATTTTCTACGTTTTTCACTCTTTTGGATTTCCTTTGTAATGTGGATAAATTGGTGCGTAATTGCAGTGCATACTCCGTGCTCTCCATGCTCTTTGCCTCGTAATGAGCTGAAGATCTTTTTGATTGGCAAATGGGGAAACTTCCTCAACAGATCTTTTGATCGTTTCTGATCGTCTGATATCCTGAAGATGGCTGAGCGTGGAATGCTGAGTGATTGGCATATCGGGAAATATGATTGGAGGTGTTTGAATGATTTTGCTTTGATCAATCGCGAAAAATCGTATTACGTGAGCCTCAAATTTGTAAGTGAAGTGGTTTTCTAGGGATAAATTTGATTGTGTTTAAGTGGTAAGTATCGTTTTAAGTTTAAAACGGTTTTAAGCTAGCGGATATAGGACATTTACAAAGTGTTTCATGTAGGGAAATCATCAAGGAAATGTAGCAAGGGTTTATCTATCTATCTATCTATCTATCTATCCGATATATATAGATAAAGCACTAAGCTATAGAAGAAAGACGATGCATAAAATAAACATGTGAACAATTTGTATTTTTATCGGCATATTCTCTGTCTTCAGATCTTTTACAACTGATCCTGACTGCAGATCCCTTTCCATGGCCATGACTCCGACTATAACTTGTTAAAAATCTGAGTATTTCTGCACTTTCGATCCAATCATTCTCTTGCCATAATCCCCGCTTATACAGATATAATTTGAGTTTCCAAACCATGTCTTACCATGTTCATTAGCTCGAATGGGCGTTGGTCTCAGCACAGATTTGTAATCCATATAAAGGTTCGGGTATAGCTTATCCAATCCTGCCGCATAGGCATAATGATGACTTTGTGTAGTTTGTAGAGCAGAAACATGTCCTAGCTTGGCAGCCTCTGCCTGCGATTGACTGAAACAGTGTGGAAATATGCAGCAGGAGAAGACGCTGCCATCGCAGCAGGATCTCGTGGAGGAGGATGAAGAGTTTGTCAGGGATTCGCTGGGATCAGAGCCCAGCAAACGATCGACACTGAAACTGAGTTTCACTTTGGTGGTGCTGGTGCTTGTGGGAGGCGTTGGACTGGATACACTCGTCTCGGGACTATGGGTGGACTCCTTGGGCGACAGATCGCGATCGCGATCGCGATTGCCCGGGGGCGATGGCAGCTTCATTTCACATTCGCCGCCGTAAACATGAGTGCTGAGATTCTCTGGCATACTCTGTTCCATGCTGGCGGCACTTTCGTGTTGCAGTAACATTGCTTTGACTATGAATACCAACAGTTTGATTCGCAGAGATTGAAACACTTTGTATCGATCCTTTCAGATCAGCAATCGATCGATCCAAACACCGTCGCTCGAAACGAACGCGAAACTTGTGGCTAAAAGGAGAGCCACTGCGCAGCAACCAACCGACCGCTTAAACCGTTTTGTACCAGAAGACAACCCACACAGAACTGAGTGGAACCGGCCCGGGAGCATACCCAACCAGCGATCGATTGCCGTTGGCGCACAGCACACCACTCGACATGGCATTGTCTGGCCTGGCCTGGCGTTTAGGTAAATCTCCATGAGATTGTGTGCTGCTGATGCTCACAGTGTGCTCACAGTGGTATGATATCTGAGGGAAACACTAAAAGAGTTTCGGAATGATTATTGTTATTAGCAGAAGAGGAATGGGTAAGTTGTGTAGCGTTTATGGTTGGTGGAACATTCCTTCCATCGAATAAAGGCTACTAAGGCTGTCTGGCAGTCCAGCAATTAGGTAACCCAAAAGTCGGAGCCTTGCTTTACTCTTCAATCCTCACTCTCAGACATTTTGCAGCAATTTAAATGATTGGCTCCCAACATATTCTCCAATATCTGGACTGAATGCCGCATAAAACAATAATCAATTACTCCATAACTTACAACCCAGACACTTTGCAGCAATTTCAATCCTTTATCTGTGCAGAGCTCCCTAAAAACTTCTTTGCCACACATTTTTTGAACACTTTTGCACCACTGTTGCCGCACATGGCTGAGAGTCGCGGGTGCTGTTTACACACAAACACCGCCGCTGTGTCATTAGCTCAGTCGGAGATTGCTTGCCCCGATCGCTGTACAGATTTGTTTACCGATTTCTCCATATGTTGCCGTACTCCCCACACACATACACACACACACACACACACACAGCGCCAGAGCGAACACATGCACATTACGGTTATCGACGTTCGGCTGATTCCGGTTTCCTATGCGCGCCCACAACTCGTGGAGAGGCTGCCATGGCTTGGCAGCAGCGGACCAATACGATCGATCGATCGCTGCCAGTGGGCGGAGCTAGTGGCCAGATGTGCTGCCTGGCTGTGTCTGTGCCTTTGTCCGTGTGTCTCTGTTGCTCACACGCGGAATGCGGCGTGCCTAATTGCCCTGGGATTGAGCGATCTTTGTGAACTCTGTGAGCTCCAGGCTGTCTGGGGCTGCATGTTCCGTTGTTAATAAAGTGGGTAACGTGCAGGTCATAAATCCAACCGCATTCCCCAAAGGAAAATCTTTGAAAAACATAAACAAATCCGCTCAGAATGCACAATGCACTCTCCATAAAAACTTTTGTCTGGTGTGCCATTAAATTATCGCAAGTAAACATTCGATTTGGGAACTCTGCTCACTGCGCGGCATACGAAAATAAAGTGAAAAGAAAATTGCGAAGCGGAAATCGTGTTATTAATGGAGAGTTTCCCGCCCTCTCTCTCTCCCTAGCATACTTTCCAGGGTTGAATCCACCTCCCCCAGTGGGTGGAAAAATGGTGCCCCTCACACCCTAGTACCAGCCCCTAGACAGTCCACAAATTGACAACGAAACGAGAAGGGACGTGTGAGACGCTTCTTACGCGTCACAACTTTTATACCCGGCACTCAGTACTACTTCTGCACCTTAGCGGTGTTTTGTCAAACTTTACATATTTTCTTCATCTGTCATCTACATCTACAACACTTCTCACGCCAACACGCTCCGTTAGCTCGCCCCCCTTCCCTAGACCCACACACTGCAAACTCACTGCAGAGGCAGAGGCAGAGGCAGCTCCCGCACACAAAAAAAAAACAAATATAAGCTGCGTGACGGGGTGGGTTAAAAATCGGCAGAGGCAGAGGGACGGCAGAGGCAGAATAATGCAGAAGCAGAGTGTGAATGAGAGAATGTGCAAAAAACAAATATAAGCTGCGGGACGGGGTGGGTTTAGCCACTGGAAATTAATTAATTCATTGGTGATCTGTGGTGAATTTGGGAATTTGGTGATCTGATAGATACTTATAGTTTCCTTTTATCTTCAAATTTGTAGATTTGGGAGGTTTTCGCCCTTTTGCGGGGGCGGGAGGGGGCGTGGCTCATTTTTTAAATACACTTGTAACAGTGTGAGCATACAGAAGTCTGGATGCAAAATTGGGTGGCTCTAGCTCTCATAGTCTCTGAGTACTAGGCGCTCATCAGGACGGACAGACGGATAGATAGACATGGCTCTATCGACTCGGCTATTGATGCTGATCAAGAATATATATACTTTATGGAGTGGGAAATGCTTCCTTCTGTGCGTTACATACAACCGATATTCGTAAAAATTCAATATACCTTATTTACCCTTCGAGTACCGGGTATAAAAATAGGATATGCAAATGCAACCCAATGGTACACAAGACGGGAGAAATGTAAATGAAAACGGGTGCTAAGCTGGAGGAATGGTGACGGTGACATAGGCAATGCTCTATGTTGCGGTAGGAATACTTAATAAAGATGACTTGATAGATAAATACAACAAGGATTAATTGTAGATTGAAAAGATAAACGTGGGGAACTTCGCTCTGGAAGTGAAAGAGTGGGTTTCCATCAGAGAGACTGGAGACCTTTACCAATGCCAATTGGGATATATATACATCAACAAATATAATTCGGTGTTTTGAGAGGAAAATTGCAAGTAATATTTCCATAAGTAGATCCTGGTTAAGTCCTGCTGGTGGCAGGAAAGATATCTAAAACATCTTAAAAGTTCATTTCCATATTCCTAAAATTCTTGAGTCACCTCCTGCCCCACAGCCATCGCTCATTCGGAACACCCTTCATGTGGCAGGGAATATTCACGTATAATAAATGCAGAAAGGAAACATACAAAACGCAACCAAAAAAGAGTAAACAGACACGAACCGAGTTCGCCACACTCCTGCAGCTCCGCTATGGGTAAACCACAATCAAAACAATTCGGTCGGAGGCAACTCAATTTGGGTTAGACCAGGAACAGTACGTGCCATCCGCTTGGCTGGAGTCGTTGTCGTTGTTATCATTGTCCTCGATGTCGCTGCCTTCGCCAATGGAGTGCCTGAACCTTTGCGAGTCACCGCAGCATGAGCGTGAGGATGAGGAGCAGGAGTTTAGCTTTCGCTACCCCAGCTACATGTTCCCCGATGTGGAGTATAACAAGGACGATATACCGCTGCCGTTTAAGGCCACTCCAGACTCGCTCTTTAATCTGTGTGCTGCTGTCGTGGATGCCCAGGGCCGCACGGAGGTGTTCAAGTGGAGCATCCTGGATGTGGCCGATTGGCTGCGCGACTTTGGCTATCCCGAGTACGAAGTGAGTGGATGAACTCCTGAATGCGACAGTGCCTGAAAGGGCTTACATTTACTTCCAGCAAACCTTCAAGGAGAACCACATAGATGGGCACAAGTTGCTCAGCCTCGATGCCATCTCCCTGGTGGCTCTGAACATTCGTAACTTTGAGCACATTCGCCATCTGGGACGCGGCATCCGAGCTCTGTACCGCAAGGAGCTGCAAACAGCCACGGAGACAAAGCAGCACAGTGAGGTGTACAAAACCTTCAAGGCCCGCACTGGCCGCAGCTACGAGGGATTGCGCGAAACTGAACTCCTGGGACGCATGCACATGATACGCTCCGTCTTTCGGGACGTCAACGATTGGGATATGATGGAACTGCACATGGCTCGAGCTCCCATCAGACGATATCGTGAGGTGCTGGCTAATTCTAGGCGCTACAATCTCTACGGACCATCGACGGCACGCAGGGAGCCCATAATCATGGACGATGTAGATGCCACAACTTGGTTTGATTTTGGCGATTGTTATTAGGTTTCTCTAGCTGGAAGGAAGAATGCAGGAACATCGAACTAATTCTAAAGATTCACTGGAAATGTTGTCTTAAAACTTTATCGAAACCAGATAAATAACCTGAATACAATTGCTTCCTCCGGTTTTCGCAAATTTAATAAAAATTCCCGCGAATTGAATTTGGATTATGGGAAGCTATGGAGTAATTTGCGATGGGAATAGTACTCTGAAGAACAATTTCTTTTTCACTTTCAAAGCGTTTATCTTCCAACAGAGTTTTCACAGCATCATTTTGCATAAACACCTTTCATGGCTTGTTAAGAACACCCAAGTTAGCAGCCATCTAAGCACACATGAGTAGTAAGTAGTAGATCATTACTAAATCTTGTAAAACTGAACACATCAAATGTTTAATTGCCTCTTTCTGTGCCCAAGTGGCCTGAAACAATGCTTTGCAAATCTACGCTCATGTTCCACCCATTAAGACTATCTTTTACTGCCACATTTTAATGCTTTGATTTGTATTATTTTGATTCAGCTCAGACCAAAAATCAGTCACTTTCCCTTGCCCCATGGCCCATTAAACAAACGTTGGCAACACCCGAGCGCTGGGTGGGGGGTTTCTCTGATTCTGCCCAATCAGTCGACACGGGGCATTGATCACTTATCGCCCTGCTTTTGCCGTATGTACTCCGCTTCGTTCTCTTGTTGTGTGCCCGTCCACATTCGCGTCCGCGTCCGCGTCCACGTCCGCTCACGTGTTCAAATTTATTGATTGTTCTGCTCACAAGACACGGCGTTTCTGATATTTTTTCCCTCATTTCTCGTTGGCCTGAGCCTGGAGTCCTGCTGTGCGGCATGGGAGACGTACGTGTGGTCGTTTTATGTTATATTTTTCGACATCTTGTGTGTCCGACGATCGGGTTGAACGCTGAACGCTCAACGCTGAACTCGGACTATGGCCTCAGATTGCCTCCTAGATGCAACCTTAGACGACTCTGAAGAGCGAGAGCTCTGTGGCTGAGCTGAGGCTGCCCATGCAAATCGTCTTTGCCTTTATTAACTTATGCGCATTCAGATTACCTTAATAACTCGTTCCGTTAACACTTTATTATGTTCAAGGCTCATAAATCGTTCCATCACCCAGACATGGTTCCGAGTGTACGAGTGGCGGTAGGGGGGTGTTCGTCGATGGGTTCCGTTCCCCAAGTCTCTGACCAGACATTGTCGATTATGATTTATCGCATTTTAATCAATTTAAAATGTTTAAAACGATACAAATCGGAAGAAATTATGAATGTGTTGCTGTCTTTAGGCTCCACAGTAGGCCAGCAATAACAACAGCAACAGCTACAGAGCGACAGAGCCACATAGCCACAGGCAACCGGACGACTCCGACGACGACTACAAGCCAGCGATGATCGTCAGCATGCGTTATCCGACGCGTACCTCGTTTGTATTTCACTCCCCAAGCCTCCACAGACTCACTCTCGGGTTACCTTTTGCTGGCGGCAGAGCCCCTCGAAATTTACCCGCGTCACCACAAGCACAGAGTCCAGGAGCGGACCAAGACCATACACGTGTGTGGGAAAACGAAGTTAGAGCTGTATATTCCGCTCCTGAGCGTGTCCCCAAAATGCATTCCTCGATCGCGTGCTGTGTGTGGGTATACATACATATGTGTGTGTGGGGATGGGATTTCGGGGGCCTGGTTTCAATGTGCGTCCGCGAGTCGCGACGACGGCACAGCGACGATTATGATGATTAAAATTGATAAGCGAAATATTTTTATCATTTCTCAAATTAACATAAACCATATGCGATTATCACACAATAAGCTCAGCGGCCACAACAGGCATGGCACGGCACCACACTGCCTCGGACTCTGCCACAACGCCTCTTTTTTTGTTGTTTGCTTTTTATAAGCTTTTATGGCCTCCTCTCACTGCATTCGCTTATAAGTTATGGCATTGCTGCGAAATTATGGCAGTGGTCAGAAGGATTTTGGTCGCGGCAAACAGTGTCAATGGCAAAACACGAAATTTATGAGGATTTGCCAGCCCCAGCGGTCATGTCAGAGGTGTTGCAGTTGCAGATGCAGTGTGTATGCCCCATGCTGGAGGCTGTTTTTATTCAACTCTTAACCTATGCGTGCGCGTACGAACTAAAACGGTTTGAAGCGACGCGACTGCTTTAGCAGTTCAATTTTTCGCTTATCCTCTTCGAACTTTTTTCGCATCTCGACAATGTTTTGCATTTTGCTCTCGCGTATCTGGAAGGTGTAAAAGTTTTTCAGCTCCTTCGTTTTCGTGTCATTCTCCCGCTTCTTTTCGAGGCGTCCGATGACAGACTCCTTTTGCTCGAAGCCAGCGTTGCGACCCTCTTTGCCGACAGTGACCCAGCCATCGGCGTCGGCTTCGCTGTTCTTTGCCGCCAGTGCAGCCGCTCGTTCTCTTCTATCATAGTCGGCCATATATTCCGTGATCTGTGCCTTTGTCTGCTCCGCATCGAGGATGTAATGATTTTCGTACTCTTCGTGCCACAGCTCCATGCCCGTTTTGATGGTGGATGCGCCGCTGCTGTCGAACAGGTCAATGCTCGGCACGGCCAGGGCTTTGGCCAGGCTGCTGCTCTTCTGGAACACCACGTAAGCCACTTTGAATATGAACGGCGGGCTCACTGTGGAGAAGGGCTCTTTTGAGCCCTCATACCATTTGATTGTCTCATCTTTTCCAGGCTTTGCTGCAAATTGTACGCTCTCCACGTTACCAGCGCGCTTGAAGAACCCCTTCAGGCTCTCCTCGGTCACATAGGGTGGTACATTGAGCAGGAATAACGTGCGACCTTTCGGTTTATTTGGATCCATCAGGCGAATGAAGTGTTCCCGCATGTAAACGCTGTGGCAGTGCTGTGCATCGGGACTCATTCGCAGCGAAACAACTACAAATCAGGTATTTATGATTAGCAATAGTTGGGGTAAGGGTTGTGTTCTTTTACCTGTATATCCCTCGATTTCTTCCATTATTGCTTCGTTTTTTCAGAATTAAAAATAAACACGTTTTGGGCCAATAGAGATGGGAAGCTGTGTGACTGCGAAATTATCGATATAATATACCGACCCTCGGAAATATACTGAAATTCATTAAATATTCCATTATGTACCGATATACCGTAAATATATTTTGAACTTATTTTCTAAGTTAAAATATCCCCCAAAATATATATTATACCGCAAATGGTCACCCTGATGGGAAGTTAAATGTAAATATAGCAATATATCGATATTGTAGATTTGAAAAGTATCGATGTAATCGATATCGCGCAGGTTGGCAGCTCTGATAATTGGGCATTTAAAGTTAGCGCCAATTTAAATATTTTATACTTGATTTGAATTTAGCTAGAATTATTCCTTTCCAGAAATGTATCATTTAAAAATAACTAAAAACATGTGGAGAAATATTGTTACCTAGAAGTTCTTTCCTTTGTTGCTGCACACAGCAAAACTCTTAGTTAGATCACAAAAAGCCATAAAAAATGGTGCAATCCAAGCATTTTCCACTTTCATTTACGCCAAAATGTACCGTATGCATGTGTATGCAGCACGCCAAATGGCAAATAATTAAACAACATGCAGTGTGGGCAGAGCAGGAGCTGAATCAGAAGCAGGATGCGGCATCAGTCGAGCCAAAACCAAATGTTTTTGTAAACTTTGCACGTATTTTAGTTTTCGGACGATTTTGTGCTGCTCCTTCTTGCTCTTTCTGGCTGTGCCCTACTGCAATCCGAGGACCAGTGTGTGTTTGTGTGTGCGGGGATGTGCCCGTCAAATGGTCCGAAAACAAAAACTACACCCCAGCCACATGACCGCAGCCTGCGTTTATTTAACGGCCGCCATTGCCTGCCCCGCATGCTGAAAGGAGGAAGTTTTGCCGGCCACGTTTGTTGTCCGTTGTCCGCTGTCCGCTGTCCACAGTCCTGTGTCCAGGCGCATATATGCTAATTAATTGAAGGCATTTTTCTGCATTTTTATTGTTTTAAGTTGAGGCACATTGATTTTGCTGCAAAGAAAACAGCTCCAAAGAGGTGTAATTCGTTAATCAAAATGTTCTAACAAAGTGACCTTAATTGCAGCACAGATTGACATTGTTTTTTGCAGAATTACGAGTATCACAATTGCAGCAGGGCAGGCAGCACATGGCAGCAAATGCCACCCAACTGGGGACTCGGCTTCTTGCTGATTGAATAATGCAATTTGAATGCGGTTTGATTTTGTGCAGCAAGTCTCAAGTGTAATTAAATGTGCAAATGTGCAGAGCTAAAAGGCCAGTTAATTCGATCAACAACTCTGCACAAGAGCTTTAAGTGCATAAAGTCCACTTTCTTTGACAATTTGGACTTAAGGATCAGGTTGAGAATTGGTCAACTTGGGGAGGATAAATAATTGATTAGCTTCGAGTTTGTAGGCGTAAGTTTTATAGGAGAGACACAAGCTACAATGGAACAGATATTAATGCATATTTGACCTTATTTCCACATTGGCTATACTTTGGTTTAAATGGTTCAATTTATACGAAAATCCTCCATTACTTCTGCAACGCTCTCGCCTTAACTGAAAACCCTAATAACAAATGCAAAGTTCTTTAACTTTTTGTTGTTGTACGTGCACATAATTTAAAAACGTTGTTCATACTTTATTAAGTCCTGCTTATGGAGCGAGATAAAAAAAGAGGAGTAACAAAAAAATGTGGGTACAACATTTAAAAGCGCGGCACGTGCTCTATATTCTGTGCCATTGAGGGTCGAGAATTTGTTTCCTTAATGCCAAATCCTTGACTAATTAGTGCATGTTGTGGCAACAGCGTTGGGGCGTGGGGCGTGGAGCGTGGGGCGCGCCACAAACCCCTAAGCTGTACAAAAAGTACGAGTGCGAGTACGTGAGTATATTTATGAGGCTTCAGGCGCTAAAAAAGTGCCAGCATTTCTTTTCAGCAAGTGTGTCTGAGTGTTGAGCTGAGGTGTGTATGTGGTGTGTGTGAAGGGGGGTTGTAGGGTTCTGTGTTGATTTCTGTACAAATGTTGCAACTTGGGGGAAAATTCATTAAAAATGTTTGCTTAGTTGGCTGAGGCGTTGACCGAAGGGGAATATGCGATGAGTTAGTGCAAATTATGGATTGTATTCATTTTAAGTAAAAGTCAACCGTTGCGGGCACGGTACTAGAATTTTCAGAGCTGCTTTCTCCATCTTTATTTTCCATAATCCATAATTTTAACCAAATTGGGAACCCCAGTGCCCGGATACGTGTGCTATGATTTAGAGACTTCAACTTGTCCAGTTCGAGCTTGCTTGATTTTGGCCTCCAATTGTGCGTGAAAACTTCCCAAGCGATTTTTGTCGCACGCATGATTTATGTGCGTCCATTTGTGGCACGCAATTTGTTCGGCAGCAGCCACAGCCAGAGCCACAGCAAAAGCCACACTCCGACCCCAAGCGAATCAACAAATGCTTGTGCAATGTTCATTCAGGTTCAGGTTCAAACGTATTTTCGTTTATTTTTCACATTATTTCACTTTTTTTTTTGTGGTCGAGGGAATCCTAGACAAACTCCATTTGGCTGTGCTGTGCCACCATTTAAGGCGTCACGTGCAACTAATTTATTTTGCCACAACAATTGCCATGCCCCTAAAAAGTGTGGAGCAAAAAAATGCAGCACATAGTAACTAATGATGACTGAGGTCCTGAATATCTCATAAGGTAATGCCACTTTCGGGGCGTGATAAGAGAGTATTTGCACATTCTAAGCATAAGAGCTACAAGTATAGGGAAGAGGTGTGACGTGTAAGGAACTAAATAAATCACTGATAAATCCACATAATATTAAAAAATATGACACAAAATCACTACAAATAAAGATAAACTGAAAGTTTAAAGTTTAAATTCACATAACTCACACAATTCTTATGTATTGAAATGATATGGTGCTATTGACTCAGATACGAATTAAATTACAACAATACGGAGCATCCACAAGAGTTATCATGACGTGCGTCAGTTGCATCCATAGATGCATAGATTATTGGTAAAAAGCTACGATAAATCACAAACAACAATGACAACAACTGCAAGGAAAATGCAGCAATAATAAAAATCAGTTCAACGTTTCTTTATACAACTACAAATACTGTCAGCGTATCCAAACAAGCACCTGTGACCCATTCGAAACCAAAACCATTCCAATTTGGCGCTTCCGCTTTTCAGTTGTGATGCTGAGCCAGCAAAGGGAGCACATGTTTGGCAAAGCAGTTTGGAAAGTACCCAACGGAGCCCACGAAGTTAAATAATTAATGTTTCATGATGCTTCTACAGGATTGTTGGATCTGGCAGGGCATCCAAATTTGTTCTTAACAGAGTTCCCTTTTTGCTGTTGGTCAACTCGAAATGAGACCAAAAATGTATTCAAAAATGTTTGCTACTGAAACGTGGTGGGTGACCCAGACCAAACCAAAATGCTACGCGTATATTTTCTTTGCCATGGTCGAGGGGAGCATTGCCCGCACCCAATCACCCAATCACCCATTCACCCAGAGCCACAATGTCCCCATGATTAATCGGGTAAACACTTTCCGTTAACGATATTTCCATTAATTATGTCTTGCAGAGAGCCAAAATACACAAAGAAAAAAGAAAAGGAATCGAAATATGGTAAGAAAAGTTTTCGTCTGGCCGCGCTTTGCCTCTCATTAGTATCGCTGACATGCCACACCCACAATGATGGCGTTGCGCCGATAAGAAGCCAATCATGTCGACAATGGAACCCTGCTCTCCTGGACTCTAGGCAGGACCTGAAGTCGGGCGCCCGCTTCGGGCAGTTGCAAAACTTGACACAAAAGGTCCGAAAAACTTTCCTCATTAATTATGGAAAGCAACACAAAAAATAGCAAAACAAATTGCGTCAAAAGAAAATGTTTGTCAAGAGCTTCGTCTCGCCGATATTGGGCTGGCTCAATTGGTTATATTTTTGTACTTTCTGCTGCATTCATTTGATTTACCGATTTATTAACCCCAACAGAATGCCAGTAAGATCCCATTAGCGATAAATGAGGACATTTCGGACCGAAAGAAATGGTTGGGAGCCAACTTGAGAACTAGGGAAAGGCGGTGCAACGGGAATGGGAATGGGAATGGGATACTCTGTGAGTATGTAGAGGTAAGTATGGAGAAGTGTAATATGAGTGTGGCAAGGACTCCGTCAAAAGCATCCAGCAGGTATCTGCACCGCGGCGTTCGTCATCATAAATGCAGCTAGATCAGCTCTAAGCAAATGTTTGTGTCGATCAAGTGATGGCAAACCAACGCAGCACTTGCTGGAATTCAGTTTCGACTGCCATCAAAGAACTCTTATCACCCAAATACCCATACAAAAACATACTAGTGCATACTTTCAGACTCGTCGATTCGTGAGCCAATAAAAACAGTATTTTAGATAATTGTGCAGCCAACAATTTGGAACTTTTCCGCTCGGCCAAATGGGCTCCGATCTTCAGGATCCAGGCTGTGCTTCGACAACAGACTTATCCTGAGAAATAACTAATTAATAACGCCCTTTTAGCCATTTCAAGGCATGCTCCTTAATGTCCTTTATGCCAACCGATAGAGGACTTCTTTCCGATCACGACGAGGTGTGGCATGTCCTGATGGTCGAGCCTCATTGAAAGGGATTGAAACAGATTCAAAGTGGTTGAACAAACTGAACTAGACACTTTTCATACCGAGTACCAGGCAAACATAAATCAGCAGAAGGTAGCTGGTTTTTATTTTTGCAGCGTGTCAAAAGCTGGCCGATGCGAGACCGAACTAATTAATTGTCTAAACATTTAAATCGCTTCAATTCGGTAATTTCTCTTTCAAAAAGTATGTTTGACGTGACCCCTGATTGACATGAAGGACAATAAGGACCATGACTTGATCCTTGATTCAACCCAATCATACAACTTAAGGTATCTCCGCTGGTAATTCTATTTATATTCCAGATTGGATTACATTCAATTCATTATTCTCTAAAAATAATAATATAATTGCAGCTAACTCGATCCGAAAGATACTCTTCATT